GTATAGTTACCACAGACCTATCATGACACTGTTCCAGAAGAGGGTGAGCAGTTGTCTTATTCAGTACTACCAAACAGGGTCAAAACCTGTAAACTCTGCCCTTTGAAAAGCTGATTTTACAGTTTTTGACACAATAGAAGTAGCAATTTGTGATTCTTGTAACTCTTTATATTGTTGCAAAAGCAAAATTTAATACTGCAGAGGAATTAAAATAAACTCTCTGTGCTCTCGCCATATCCTGAAGTACTCATCTTCCTGCACCTGAAAGATGAGCAGTGCAGGATTCTGCCTGCGCTTTGCAGTGCCCGTAGGTTATGAATATTTGGTAAGAACTATGCCTATTTCATATTTTGCTACTTTCTCAATGAAAAAGATAAATTTCTATGGTCATAACTATAGCAATGTAGCAATACTACTATTGTAGTAGTATACTTTGTAGCAATACTACTATGGCTACAAAGTTTCTAATGTACAATGAACCAATATTTCCTGATAATTTCAAAGTTTTCCTCTTGCTTAGAAATATGTGTAAACCTCATCTTGCTCAGCTATTTCCTGATTGTTTCATTGGGCAGGAAAGTGAAACAGTTAAAATATACCCTTAATGTGGGATTTCATAGTTAGGCCGTTATTCTAAAAAGTCACTGGTAAATTTTCCTTCAAAGACCAATCTGCTCCTCAGTGACTGAAACCAAACAACAGGCAGTCACGATCCTGTAGTAAGCTGTGTGCATTAATCCTGTTCATAAGCTTGTATAAAATATGATTCAGTATGTATGCTCCCATGAAATACATGATTAATTGTGTGGAAAGCCTTCACCCTGAAATTTGAACACTGCCATGTGATGCAGGAAAGAGCATTTTTATCTCACTGTGGGCTAATGATTTATTTAGAGCTTAGTGAAACATCTGTTGGAGGACAGCAGATGACCATGGCTCGTACAGCCACGGGATATTAGCATTTCTACGGAGGTGGAAGCAGATTCTTTTCCCAGGAAGAATTCCAACTGTTTCATGAATCAATAACTAGCATCATTTTCAGGTCTCCCTCTTTCCTAATGGAGCCTGATGGGAGAACTTTGAGCTTTTGAAAAGGAGGAGAAAACAAAAGTGGGGAGGTTGGGAGGAAGAAGTGTTTGTGCCCAAACTGGGATTCTGCTTGATGCTGGCAAACTTGAAGACAAAGATCTTGCAATACAGGGGATTGAATTTACATGATTGGAAAACATCATAGCAGCTTTACAGCTCAGTACCAGAGTCTGAGAGTAGTCACTGGGATGTGATCCAAAAACCTTAGCATGACTTTTTTTTTTTAAATACCCTTGGCTTACCTGCTTTTGTAATACATTGTATATGTTTGGGATTGCTAATGAATAGTTTGTTCTTTGCCCAAGCCTTTTAAGTAAGGTCTCTTCAGAGTAAGTGTAGTATGCCCCGTTCTATTCTACTGTATGAGACAATAAAAAGAAAAAAAAAAGGATAGTTGGATAACTTTTATAGAGATCTGAGGAAATTATTTTTATCCAGAAGAGATTCCTTTGTGAGCCTGAATATGCAGGTATGGATGTTCATAAATACATCCATGTAGGAGACATTTGTGGTGACCAGAAATAAACTTGGCATAAAATAAGCCAACAGGGAGAACAACAAAATGTTTTTCACATCCTATTTGCAAGAACTAGGAAATATTTTTTTGTTTTGTTTTTGGTTTGGTTTTTTGTTTGTTGGGTTTTTTTGTTTTTGTGTGTGTTTGTTTTCAGCTTCAGTTTGATACCACAAATGAGAGATACTGCCTTAGCCAGACTATTATTTTTCTAGACTCTTCCCTTACAGCTATAATCCATAAGTGTGAGTTCCAGAAGGGACAATTATGATTTATTTCTTCTTGGCACAGACATTGGGACTGTCATGCAAGCCTCCTGCGGTCTGCCACCGAACGCTTCTCTAAGGTTTATACCACCTCTAGCCTGCATTTATTAAGGTCCAAAGGGAGTACAGCACTCAGCTGCAAGCTATTTCTATAACATGTACCTCCTCTACACCGCTTTGGCAGCCTGAATTTCAACTCTACCTTTATAGCCCACCATTATAATTGGATGCTTCATCTTTCAAAGTGATAAATATCCTAGTTTTAATGTTATAGCACTTCTGATTGTCCTGCGTATCAGGAGCTTGTTCTAGTCGAGCTGAGAGAGGAAGAGGGAAAAAATAACTTTGAGCAGCCATGTTTGCATTCCAGTCCTATTGTATTAAAGAAATCCTGCTTTGAAGGTGGTTTAATTGTCATCATCGCTGGTGACACTAGAAATGCAAACAAGTGCTCTGGGAAAGCTGATGAATGAGTTGGGATTAGAGAAGTTTGTTAGTTTGAGAATGTGTTTGCTTCTATGTGCCTTATGTTAAACTGATTGAATGCTTCTGTAATCACACAAAATATTTTTTGTTTGAATTCTCTATGAATATCAACTATTTATACTACCAGAACATTATATTAATATCTCTATGTAGTCTGAATCGCTGGTAAATTGTCAGACTGAATATTCAAAATATGTGTTGTAATAGAGCGAAGTGGAGCTACATACTGGAATTTTACACACCTAGATCTCATTTCTCTCAGCTCACTGTTCCCATATAACTGTCATTATATATACTCCCCCTTCACAGCATCACATGGTATGTGCACACTGTATATTTTTTCAGGAAAATATCTGAAAATAATTCTGCAATTGCAACCTGAGACTGTGCCATCCACTCTCTGCTTTCTCTGTGTGTGCATTACATTCCAATTTTCCCTTGTTGGCCAGAGTCACCTCTGTCACTACATTGATTCCCCTCTCCAGGTCAATTATTTTACACCACTCTTACCGTGAAAAGGGGAGGATATGAGTCTGTGCATCCAGTAGGAGTTGGGGCTACAAGATTTACATCGATATAAGATAGAAGAAGCTGTATTTCTGTGAGAGGGCAGAGCAGCAGGAGCTGCTGTAATAGTTAAAACGAAGCAAGCTGTGTACACCTACCAGTGCTAGCTGCAAGAGGCTGGTCAATAAATAAAAAGCTGAGCCCTGGCTCTGGACGCAGAAGACATGCACCTGACACGGGAATTTCTGCCAGCAGCACAATTTGGTTTTCCTATGGAGTCAGGAAGTTCAAGCAGCTGCATTATGATTACCTTTGAGCCCACATGCTCTCAGGTAGCAGCTGCTCCTGGTTCGTTCTTTCAGGTGCATCCAAGTAGGAAGAGTCAGTATCTGGGGCTCTGTGTAGCCAACCTGTAGAGATGTCATGACTTACAGTACATTTGCTGCTTTTAAGATAAATTCTGAGCCACAGAGCAGCATACATACTTGGAAAAATACTTGCATCGTAAGTTTAGTACTCTCTAGTGAATCTTTTGTAGGTCTGTGCAGTACAGTATCTATTCTGGATTTTCCTTTTTTCAAATTCATAGTGGTTTGTTTAGTTCTTGCATTCAATAAATTATCCAGGCTAGTGGTTGCTGCAGCTGCCAGCCCACTCTGCCCTGATAAGTATGAATGTAGAGCTCTTGAACTTTATACATACAGCTGCATCGAAGGAGTTCTCACTGTGCCAAGTCGTGTAAGACTTCTTTTTCTTTTTTTTTTTTTTTTTTTAAATACATTATATATAAAACCATCGTTCTATCAGTCTTTCTTCTCTTCATTATTAATTTTATCTGGTTTTATCGAGGATTAGCAAAATATGGACCTGGAAAGTATTGAATACTGTCTACTGTTTAGTTTTGAAAAGATTTCTTCTCAGGAGAATACCTTAGAATTTCTCCACAGCCTATAAAACCTACATAACATCATAAATTTTCTTTGGCAATCTTTTATTTTAACTGAAGGAAAGTAAACTAAACTAAAGATAATTTAAATTGAGAAAAAAAGAAAATGGTGATCTGATGGGGTTCAATGGAGAAAGCAGACTATAAAGCTTGCTTTGGAACAGCTAAAATAGATTTTCTGACTGTACCTAAACGGTTGTCTACTTGTGTTCCTTTTTGAGAAATGTTTGTCTTGTTCCAGATTGGATATTGCATATTCATAGGACTGTGTTAAAAAGCAGAGCTGATTTAGAAGTTCTTGCCTTGAAAAAACAGTCATAATTGGTTTCTTTCTCCCTCAGTTACTTACCAGCTTTTTTAAATTTTTTTAACTCTTAGATTGCTAAGGTGCCAAGAGTATGCACACTATACATCCTGATTCTGTTTTTTTGACAGTTAAAGTCTATACAACTAATATTTTGGCAAATATTAGGCCTGGAAAATTCTGCATGTATCATCCCAGTCTGATCTGTGAGTTAATCTGACAAGTGAAGAGAAATGGGATGCACGGAGTAAAATCCTTATTTCTTTTCTAAGAACGTTTAATGTGTAAAAGCAACACACAACTATCCGGACTTGTGGCCTAGAAACTAAGCTACATCTTTTAATTCAGTTTATGCTAAATTTTAAGTACTTGAGCACATTAACGTTTACACTAGATTTTGACTTGTATTCCTTCCGGTCTTGCAATTTTCTTCTTCAAGGCACGCTTTGGGCATCAGTTATATTTGAGGGTAAGAATAATCTTTTATTGTAAGCATTGCTTTCATAATTATGCTCTACAGTGAAACTATTTAAAAATAGACAACACTTATGGTAAACAATTTGAAGTAAACAGATAAGTGTTAGAAAACATTGCATGCCCATCTCTTTGGGGTGACCCTAAACTATTAATCAGATTAGAAGAGTGTCTAACATAGTTTTCTTATCAGAACAGCTCTTTATGCACAGGACATAGCTACAAGTTTCAGTAAAAACTTAGTTTAAGTGCATGAGGTCACCAGAAAGGTTTACATTCATTTGTATTGAAACAAAGCTAAGTACGCAAACTTGCATCTTCCTTTGATATTACACTGCCACATAAAGTAGACCTCACAGTATCTGAACACAAAGCTTTTTTCTATTAATTTTTTTAATTGTTTTTATTTCTTAGGTGGAATCAGCAGAAAGAAACTGGGTTTCTGAGAGAACATGCTGTAGCTGTGCTGACCTGTTCCTGGCAAGCAACCAAGGAGTGCAGAGGTGGTGGCCATCGTAAGTGTTTCCTGCTTTTTAAATTGGCTTAAAACTAGGGTTGTCTGGGGCGATACTGCATCAGAATTGTTCATCTTCACTCATCGTTAGAAAAGTTAAACCTTTTTCTGGAGATGTGACCAACTGGACGGTTAAGTTTCCAGGAAACCTGGAAGAGGCTTAGAGATAAGCTGCTGCAAGCAACCCAACTGAAAAGCTCCCTTCGTTTCTTGGAGGGAAGGAAAATATTTCTATGGTGAAAAATCTATCATCTTTAAAGTTTTGGATTCCAATTTTGTAGAAACATGGAAGTAGCTCAAGTCTTATGTTCATTTATAAACATTCTGATTTTACTGCCATTATGTTCTCTCTATATGAGTGGTTTTGTACAAAATGACAATGTGAGACTCCGTAGTTCAATCTCATCCGTGCAGAATTGTGTCAACAGGATTTGGCAAATAGTTGGATATATTCAAGTATATGATCTAGCTATTGATCTATGCTTCCTTTAGTCTGATAACTCTATGCTAATAAAAATGAGACAGCTCTGCTCGTGGTATAGGTAAGCACGACACTGAAATTCATAGAGACATACTGATGCGGCATTAAAAAAGGATGACATCCCATAGCAACAATGCTTGAAATATTAACTTGGTAGCTCATCCTTCATCATGAAGGTGTACTGGAGCATGTTTTGCAGGCAGTCTAAATAATTGCTCTGTAAGGTTTTATAGGGATGCAGGATTTTTCTGCTGAAAGTAGCCTGCAGGACCAAGGTTGTATACACAAAAAATTATATTAATGTCAGGTCTTTTGGGCATCAGGTACTCAGTATTAAGAAATGCCAAAAATAAGGTGTGCGGGGGAGAAAGGAACAAGATTTTACAACTGCATTTGCGTATAAACGATATTTTGTACAGTTACATAAGAACATAGTGCTGAAGGGAGTCTTAAGGCCATGCATCTGGTGAAAATGGTATCACTCGCCTTTGCATATCCCCATGGCTCTCTTGTTTCCACGTCTCTGACCATAGCAGTTGTTCACTAAGTCAGTCTGTATGCCAAAAAAAAAAAAAAAAAAAAAATTTTCTAAGTTGGTAAATCTCTTCTCTGCAGTGGCAATCTAGATCTATGTGGAATAGAGAACTGAGCCTAGGCGTATCGTATTCCAGGTAGTGTCTTAAGTACCTGACTGTATGCATTCTTTGGAGTCTCCTCAAAGAGACGGTAACAGCCAGGAGTGATATGTTTGGGTATGAGGAATATCACCAGTAAGACAGGCAGAGGAACACCTCACTTGTGAAGGTTCAGATGAGATTCACAGATGCAGCCTGAAAGGGGGTTCAAGGTAGCCTGAACTGTGGGGCACTAGCAGTACCTGATCAGTTCCTTTCTGGTTAGATGTCATCTTGGAAGTGCTCTGGTCTTCCTGAAGGTCTTTGATGCTTGCATGGTAGAATCAGGTCCCGTGAGACAGAAGCAGGTGCCTAGCATCTGCTGAGGACCTGAGCCTTGACATCTGTTTAAGAATAATGTTTGCAGCAAGGGAAACTGTATGTGCAGTCTGACACAGATTAAGTGGTAAAATTTATTGAAGGCTCCTGACAGACACATTAGGGCGTACTCATTGTGTGCTTCAATTCTATTGGAAAATGTTAGATGTATCTTTTCAAGACATGCATGCATTTGGCTCCCTCCCTCTTCTGAAGTTTTGAAATATTCACGTTACCGCAATCTGGATTTTCACTTATGTTACGTGGTAAGAAAATAATTCCCAAAAGGTAAACTGCAAATGTGGATGACTATTGAAAGGCTGAATCTATATAATTGTAAACTCTTTGGGAAGTGACTGACAGGAAGGTTCAAAGCTAGTTCTTGACCTGAAATTGAGACCTCTTTCTGTTGAAGCTGGTGGGGGACTGCTCCCATGTTCTCCATTGATAAATTTGAGGAGAATCACTAGTGTGAGTGAAAATAAGGGTTTCAAGGATCTTTAGTTAAGATATCACTATACATCGGGACACTAGAGTTCAATTAGTATTTATGATACGGGATTTGAGATGTTGAGTTTTGAACTGCTCCGATTAGGTAGTCTGGTTTTCACAAGACAGACAGTATGGAGAAATCTATGCATCCCGGTGTGGGATCCTGGCACGAGAGCTTTGAGGGACTTCCTCGGGGGATAGATGCTGCCAAGAGCAGGCTTTGCGTTTCTGACCGGTTTTGAAACTGAGTTGCTTTTTGGTGGTGGTCAGCCCAGCAGTGCTGCTTCTGCTGTGCCATCTGGCTTTTCTAATGCTTTGTCAGTGACTGACATTGTAGAGCTATCCTCTCAGCCCCTTATCTATTCTTTGTGCTCTGCTGGCATACATTCTTCTTTTAAAACTGCTGTCGATCTGCATGCTAAGTCTGTCAGTACTGTAGGAACTACAGGCTACGCTAAGTCTGTCAGTACTGTTTAAAGTCAGGACTTCAAACTCTGTAGTCTCAAACAGTTCAGCCCTTCCCTTTTTATCTCTATATATTTCTCTTTACTTCTTTTCAAGTGTATTTTTAATAAATGCAGTCCTCACCTTGACTATGTGGGAACTGAATAAGTTGCTGGAGAAAATGCACTAAAATCTGTTTTTAGACAGAAACATCAAGAAATGAAAGGATGTCATAAGCTCTGCACAGCAGAAGAAAGGTGAAGGCATCTTTTACAGTCAGGAAACTTGGTAGTGAAGTTGGAGAAAATCCCTGAAGAGAATGTAATTGCAAAGGTAACTAGAAACAGAATAGCGAAAGAAGATGGTATGACAGTCTGGAAGTCCTTGGAATCAAAAAGAGTTAGTACAAAAAGTATTTAAAATAATAAAAAATACCCCCCAAAACATGGACGCTAAGTAATAAGGGGAATTTGTTGCCAGTTTGCCGTGTGAATCTGGGCTTATTTGTTGTCTCCATATGATGCATCTGCTCTATTTGACTTTATCAAGTTGAAAATTTGGAGGATTTTTCATTTACTTTCCCAGAAAATGAAATTGTATTGGCGATTTCACAACAGTTCTGAAGTTGTCAAATTGGAAACCCAGTTAGATTTTGTTTCAAAAAGACGCACGGGGAAGAAAGAGACCTTTTTTAATGGTCTCTGCTACAAGTAGTTCATAAAACTGTAAAGAGCTAGAGAGACCCTGGAACTGAGGAAGGAAAAGGGCAAGTTTCAAAGGTGCAAGATTCCTTTTCTCCACCTCTCAAGTGGATGGACCACACTTCATGGTCCTTGGGGTCACTGCAATAGCAATTCTGTTGCTGGAGAGGAGTATGAGTTATGGAAGAACAGGGCAGTCAAATCAGCCTCTTGGAAAAAAAATCTCAGCAGTGAAGGGAGAACAATTGACGACATCATCGCATTTCAAAAATGCCAACAAGCTTGGAGTCTGTTGTGTAAAACTTCCAGGATTATGGTTAAAGCATATTGACCGTCACCTGACATCTCACTAAAGGCTAAAAATGTCTCCAGTTCCTGAAGAATGATTGGCAAAATCAGCTCATTTTCTCTCCTCCGCTTCTGGCCCCGAGAAGCGTGTTCCAAAATGCTGTGCGTTGACCTGCTAAAGTAGCAACTGGAAAGGGTGGGAAAGGGAAGGATCCCTTTTTGTTTATATGACTCTAAGGCAATTTTCAGTGAATGAAGAACATAATTTTTGAAAATGCCCTCTCTCATGAGAACAGCCTCATGCTTGCTTTGCAAATAAAAAAAAAAAAAAAAAATCATATGCCTAGTACAAGGAAACTTCCCTGTGGGATGAGGGAGTATAAAGGACTTTAGCAATATTTCAGGTCCCATACAACATTGTAAAGCACAAAATTTTAGTGATAATGAGAACTGGCAAAATCCTCGCTTTGGATCACAGACCATATTCTGTGTTACTGAATATAACTGCATAGGGCTAGCTAAATCATCACCACATTGTGCCAAGACCCATGTTATTAAGCATAGAAATGAAAGAGTAATTAAGGTTATATAAGGGTGAGAAATGCAGGCTCCACGTGTGCAGCAGCTGCTAATTGTTGCAGCCATGTAGGATAGCAGTCTGAGGGGTGGCTGTGTAGCCACCTCTGTATCAGGTTGCTCTTTGGAGAGGACGTTTTGGATGGATTTGAGCATGCTGTATCATATCTTTGGATTTGCAGTATGACAAGTTCTAAAGAGAATATGGTTGCTTTAGAAGAGCTGATACTTTTCACATATCTTCATACTGTACTGTAAGATTCTGATCTTTTATCAGTAGGGATAACCCTAGTAGTGCTCAAGAATCCAAGTATGAGCAAGGAAAATATATTTACCAGACATTCTGAACACAAGAGAAAATGTTGGTGATGATACATATTGCTGCAGGATGCTACAGAGTGAGTTCTCATGGGTCCTTCAAAAACCCAAGCACAGAGCATTTCTTTGATATCTCTAATGTTAAAAAAATTAAAGTAAGATTAAAACTGGTGGGTTGCAGTACTACTGCATAGTTCTGAGCATAAACTACCACTTCCTCAAGCTAATATACAAAACCTGAGTTTTTAATCTTAGGCCCTTAGGCCTTGTATCAGAAGAGAAGCTGGCAAAGTCATTTTTCCCAAGTCTGAAGCAACAGCTTCATTTGTAAAGTCTGCCTCTCTCATATTCTGAGTAAAATGCGGTTACATCATATACTATCCCAGTGCCTATTTTTATCAGTTCGGTAATATAACGTACTGCCATCAATATGTGTAAGTTGAGGATGAGGATCTGCAAGGTTGAGACGTATGAGGTAGTTTTTTCTGCATCTTATTGCATATGCCAGACCATTTCCTATAGTCTGCACAATTACATTTGTTTCTGGAAAGAAGGTAGTAGAAGAAAATGTCTAAATCTGCATTTAAATAAATGTACAATAGATATCAAAGATCTTTACTAGCAGTAGCCAGTTCTTGCTCAACTTGTTAAATATAAGCACTGCAGTCTCTGAAGTAGTTTGCTCATGCCCTTGCTTCCCTCCCTGGAG